ATCTTAGTGTCACTCAGCATTTTAGTGCATTTTAATTTTAGCCTTTCCTGCAGTATTTCTCTTAAAAACAACAAAGTCCTGCCCTCTTAGGGTTAAACGGTGGCCATTGTGGTTGAATTTTTGTGTTGGTTCAAGTGGTGCGTGCCGGTGCAACATCTTGGTGCGTTCGGGTTTAAATATAACTTTTAAATACAGTGTATTTAGACACACAAGTCACCCTATCATACTGTACCTCAGCAGCAGTGGTTTCAGGCATCAAAAAGTCAGCGCCTGAGCATGTGGCTCAAACTGATGAGGCTCTGGCCTGCTGGGCAGCATAACGCCTGATCTCACTCAACAAACTGGAGGTTGATAGAGGTGAAAAATCTTCCACCTTAAAAGATCTTGGCTTAGCCATGAGTTTTCTTCTGATCATTCTTCATGCTCATATGGCTAATCTGAGTAGCTGGCACTTGTCTTGACCTGCTAAACCACCATTGCTCATCTCCACATTTATTACTGCCACTCAGGACCTCTCTGCATCAAAAATTTTGGTTGCATTTCTTTATTATTACTTGGGCAAGGTTAGGTTGTACATGGGATGAGCTACACTTTAAGAACCCCTACTGTAGGTTTGCATTATGCTTCCAAAGCAACTGAAAAAAAATAAAAAATAAATAAATAGAAATAATAGCACAGTGGTGAATTTAGCCCCTTAAGGTCATCATTTGGATGCACTGGATCAGTTCATCTCTCCTTTTTAAGCAGCATCCTTAATTTTGCTGTCCTGCATTTACTAACCCAGCCTCTTTTTGGAGTGCTGATTGCTGGAGGTGTTGCTGGCCATGTGTCTGTCTGTCTGTCTGTCTGTCTGTCTGTCTGTCTGTCTGTCTGTCTGTCTGTCTGTCTGTCTGTCTGTCTGTCTATCTGTCATTTAATTCTTTGAAATATTCCTTCTTTACCTTCGTTTCCTGCGGTTTGCATATGTGTTTGACACATTTTTTGGAAGCACATGAAATATGCCTTTACCAATACAGTGATCTAACTGACTGGCAGATTGTCAGCATGTAACCTCATATCACTCAGTAAATTTGATTGGCCTTTTCTGGTGTGTTACAGCTTCACTACCAATGAACATCACCAGTAAACTCTCACACCCGCAGCTACACCAGACATGTTGGTTCAGTTCCATGTTTCCTCCTAGTAATCACATTTCTAATCAAGAGCGAGGACTGCAGCAAGGACAGTCTCTGTGTGAGTCAAACTGCCAGCCTCCCTGAGCTACACGTTATGGTGTGTAGTCATTAATAAAAAGTCATTGATATGATTGTGTCTCAATTAAAACAGGATGCGGTGCGAGGCTCGGCTGGTTTCCTGGTGTCAGATGTGAAAAATGAAGATTGTTGAGCAGTGGGGTCTGATAGACACTGATAGACAGGGCGAGAGGAGGGGACGTGCTGTGCATACGAAACATTCAGAATTACACCATCCCCCTAAATACAAGCTCATACAATGTAGATCTTTTTATCCCTATATTTGAAGTGCAACTGAACTTTACATGTTAAGCTTTTGTTCCTTTTGTATATTGAGGAACTATTTGGAAGCTTGGTACTTTTCATAGTCCTGCTGCCACTGATACATAGCAGTTAAGATGGTTGGTGACAGGGTTAGGTTGCTCTGAAGAATTTAGGCTTGACAGTATAGTCAATAGAGAAAATAGAGTTGTGGCTTTTTGTCACAGTTGATGAAGTTGGTTCATGTGGTCGGGTTAGATTCCTATTAAAGATTTAGGCTTGACAATATAGAGTAAGATCTTAATGCTCTCTAAACCAGGGGTGCAAGAGGATCTACTGGCATTAAATCTGATGATACTAAAACAAAATAAAATTAATTTTCCCTAACAATTTGGTGACAACTTTAAGCGTAAAACAGTTGAACTACAATGAAAAAATAAGCTGATGGTTTTATAAATTTGTTATCTGCAAAGCGGAAAAAAACAAGAACAATGATTGATAAGTGGTTTCCTACATGGCTGTTACCAATAATACAAATGAAAAGGATGTGCTTAAATTGTGGCTTTTCCATCACAGTAAATGAAGTCGGTTCATGTGACAGGGTTAGATTGCTTTTAAAGATTTTAGCTTAACAATAAGCAATAAGATATGAATGTGCTCCAACCTAGGAGTGTAAAAGCATTTCCTGGCATTAAATCTGTGATACTAAAGCAATAAAATTTAAAACATTTGGCATCAAAATTATGTGGAGTTTCCAAATAATTCACAGTGCAACGAATCAGAGAAGCTGATAATTCCGACCAACACTGTCTTGTGCTTAAACATTTTTTGAAAGATATGGCTATGATTTGTTGAACTGGCAGGTGGCTGAGTGAAAAAGCAGAATATGGTTGAACAGGCTGGTGTTTGGGCTTGAAAAGGCTGGTAGCAGGTTGAAGCAGTTCAAGTTGATAAAAGAGTCAAACGCTAAGCTGGACCTGGTGGGAGCAGAATAAACACTGGAGGCCAGGAAGGACAGACAGTGTACCTAAGCAATGGGAATAAACAACATGCAGACAATCTGGCAGAGACTGACTGTAAGAGGCAGGTCTTTATAGGCAGGATAACAGGTTTAAGGAATGATGTTGACTAGCAGGGAGAAACAGGTGGATGTTGTGATCTGCTTGAGACTGTTGTCCTGCAACAGACTCTATTGTGTTTGAGTTTATAAGGTCTGGGCATATTTCAGGATTTTTCGCTAGAGTAAATTTTGTCAATTACTGCAAACTGTCTGGGATTTTAAATGTAATGTATCTACAAGAATCACCCCTTTTGTCTCATCAGCTCCCCTTCTCGAAATTTATTTGAGAATCATCAGTATGTTTTGCTACATGTGATGCCGGCCTTTGTGTTCTTTTAGCTTTGGAGCATTTTTAACATTGTTGCTTTTTTAGGCTGGAAAGTCTCCCATGGATACCATTGATGTTTATTTTATTGCTGGATCATTAATGTGGACCTTAACTGAGGCAAATGAGGTCTCCAGTTCTTCAGATCTGTGTTCTAGTTTTCTTTTTCTTTTTTTTTTGTGACTTTTAGAGCAGCGTTTGATGGGAAAACTCCTTGGCAGGTTTACCTTAGTTTTTTACTTTTTCACTGTTTCTGACTATCACTGATATTCACTTGAGTCCCAAAAAAAATACACATTGGGAAATATCGTTTTCTCCATACTAGTAGAAATAGAGATTAAGATCTTTAACCTATTTTATGTTGTTTACGCAATTTATTTGATTCTCTACATCCAGCAATAATGACAGCTAAGTGTGGCTGGTAAAATATGAACTCCAGCAGTGTAGTAAGTCAATTGTAATCCATAATCTTACTATAATGAAATCATTATATATAAAATCATTCACTATAATGAAGGAAGCTCTAATTTAAATCTACTTTGTGTATTTACTGATGCAGGTTTTGTGCAACATAATATTTATGATTATTGATGATTAAGTGCAACAGAAAAGCAAAAATCCTCTATTCATTTTCACTGTACTTTATTTGGGGTGAGGAGAAGCAATGTGGCAGCAGCGTTAATCTTTGATTTGTTGAAAGTGTAAACTTGAAATATATTTGAAATGGCAATTTTCTCCTTTGTAAGGAGGGTTAATTACTGTACCTAGACTTTACTCTAATTGTGTATTCAAGTCCTTGAAAATAATCACCTGAAAAGGTTCTAACAGGCTAAATGTGTGAGAGAATAGAGTATCAACAGTTTTCTGTAATTAACCTGATTATCTGCCTAAATATAAAGACAAGCTTAGTGTTAACTTGCAGCCTAAGTCATTTGAACTAAGCTGAAAAGGAAAAGTTGGCTCTTTTATGAATTTCAGTTCAATTAAAGTCAGTCTATTTACAGTATATATCGCCAATTCACAACACGTCATCTCAAGGCACTTTACAAATCAACCAGATCATCCATTCAAATTTATTCAAAGTTTTCTGTCTAAGGAAAACCAGTTGATTGCATCAACTCATGGCTTCAAAGGCAATCCCTCACAATAAGCATGCTTGTAGTGACAGTGGAGAGGGAAATTTTCCTTTGAATAGGAAGAAACCTCCAGCAGAACCAGGGTCAGTGCGGCCATCTCCCGAGGCTGACTGGGGTTCAAGGAGACAGAAGCAGAGATATAAAAGGCAACTGTTAACTAGCTCCACAGGTGGCGCCGTCCAGGAAAGGCACAGCCAGGCAGACGAGCTCCAGGGCAGCTCCCATGTCAGAAGATGTCTGAAGATCCAGTTAGTCACAGTCAGAGAAACAGGACTAAACTAAAAACAGGCCAAGCTCAAACATCTATAAACAAAGGTGTTGATGGCAGCAGCACAGCTGATATTTCTCTCCAGGATGGAGTCACAGCCAAACAGTAAAAGACCAGATGAAGAAAAAGCAGAGTGGGATAATAGAGATAAATTGAGAAAGGGGTCTCTATGTCCTCCAGCAGTCTAAGCCCATAGCAGCATAAGTATAGAGATTTGTCATCTACAATCCCAAAAGTAAAAAGTATATAGCAATGAGTTCTTAGATGCATGATTTTCTATTGTGGCCCTTTGAATGCCCTGTCAACCTCCAACCTCCATTTTTGTTGAGCAAATGGTCAACCATTCGGTTGACTTGGCAGTTAAAGGGCTAAGATTTAAACAGATGCATTTAAGTTTTGGCTTGGTTGACTTCTGTTTTCAATGGGGCTTCACTCGGCCAAAGTTTTTCAGGGAGACATCAACCCACACCCCAACACACAAACAGCCTGTGATTGTTAGCATGTCTGCATCATTTATTGGTGGTAGCTTTTAAAGAAAAGATTGAAAATTGCTATTGTTGGTGTTCAGGTGGTATCAGATGTATGTGTTTGTGTTGAATTTCTCTCAGGCGATTTTTCTGAACTTGGCTTTGCATTCATTTGCACTTCTAGATGACGAATTTAGAGTCGTGCTGGGTTTTGCCATTTTCTTATTTTAAATGTTTTGTCTCTTGCACAGGAAAACTGCTACGGTGGACCGGAGTGAACTAGCCTGCTTGCTCATCTCCTGATCCATCCCCTTGTCTGTCTGAGAAGCAATCTGATGACAGAACTTCGGAGGAAGGAGAAAAAGGACTACCTGCTATGGCCAGTGGTAAATGATAAAGATAGAATTTCCTGTAAACCCTTTTGGCCATTAAGATCCTGAAAGGAGGATCCTCTGTTCAATGATTTCTCTGACTTAGTTTCTATCTGTTATAGCAGCTGATGGTCCAGGTAACATTGGAGCCGAGCAGGACCAGCTAAACGTCCCTGTAGCTGATCATGGAGCCTGGGCCACGGCCATGAATAACCTGGGCATCATGACGGTGGGGATCAGCGGGCAGCAGCTCGTTTCAGGTACTAAGCTCTCTCAACCTGAATATTGGACAGCGTGGACTCATCTTTGGGAAAAGATGAATGAATGCTTCTTTAGTATTCTTTCATCTGTTTTCATCTACGATTCTTATTGTCTAGGGTGAGATATGGAAAGCATTTATTCCAGTTGAACAAATGAATGCACTAACATCCAAATGAACGGAGCCGTTCTACATTGCCTGGTTTCCAGGGATATTTTAAATGATAGACCAATACAAAGTTCTTTTTAAATGGGATTTCATAAAAAAATATATGTTATAAAATAATATTTAAAGCTTTGAGCAGAGAAAATTACATTTCAGTTCATCAGTCCACAGAACCTATCAACTATATTTCTATAAGAGTCTTAAAAGGCGTATTGTGTCATAAAGCAGAGTCTTAGTGGTTACCAAGCAGCATCAACTATTCTAAGTCATTCTAGATTTGAAAATGATAAAATGTGGTTATTCCCGATGCTATTTTCTTCAAGATTTCATCAATTTCATAGTGTTTCAAGAGTTTGTTTTAGCTCTGTGTGTTTTAATTCACTATCCTGTTGAACTGCGACAGAGGCCAAGCTTTCTAATACTGAGTAACACATTTTTCTCTAGAATCCCTTGATGGGCTTATATTCAACTGTACCTTGCAGAGATTCAAGACCCGTGTGCTAGATGAAGCATAGAAGTCCCATAACATAACAGGGCCTTCTCCATGTTTTGTTGGAAGTTGGAACAGGGTTATTCTTTTAGTATGCTTCTTTTTTTTTTTCTGTCTTTGTGTCTTTGAACATAAAGATGATGGGACTTAGTAAAAGCTGTTGTCCATTGGACATTCTCCGAAAACATTTGTGGCTGTCAACATGTAGTTTGACAAATTCCATAACTTTAATATTTGTTTTGAACAATGGTATTCTCCTTGGTTGACTTCCATTAAGTCTACTTTGGTTCAAACAACAGATTGTGAGATCTGACACTGATGTTCTTTGAGCTTGAGGTTCACCTTTTATCTCTTTTGATGTTTCTCTGGGCTCTTTAGGTACCATTACAGTATCCATCTGTGTGACTTGTCATCAATTTTCCTCCTGCAGTGACATCCAAGGAGGTTGACCACAGTCCCATGGATCTTGAATTTCTGAATAATATATGCAACAGGAACATCAAGCTTCAAGATTCTGTAGCTGGACTTAGTATTACTGACCATATATGTAGATTATCTTGGAGCTGACAAATATTTTAGTTTCTAGATATGCGGAGCGGGTACAGACAATGCAACAGATATGCCACCATTACGCCACCAAACAGTGACTCTAGAAAATATTCAATTCAGTTTATTTATATAGAGCAAATTCCCAACGCATGTCATCTCAAGGCACTTTACAGTTCACCAGATCATAGAGTCAAACTGATTCAAAGTTTTCTATCTAAGGAAAACCGGTTGATTGCATCGACTCATTGACTCAAATGCAATCCCTTACACTAAGCATGCTTGTAGCGACAGTGGAGAGGAAAAACTCCCTTTTTCAGTGTGAGCGGCCATCTGCTGAGGCTGACTGGGGTTCAAGGAGACAGAAGCAGAGATACAAAAAGCAACTGTAAAAGGCGGCCCCGTCCAGGAAACACACAGCCAGGCAGACGAGCTCCAAGCCTGCTCACATGTCAGACATGAAGAGAGCACATCCAGCCAGAGAAACAGGACTACACTGAAAAACAAGCTGATCTCAAACATCTATAAACAAATGTGTTGATGGCAGCAGCACTGCTGATATTTATCTCCAGGATGGAGTCACAGCCAAACAGGAATAGACAAGGCAAAGCTACTATGAGAAAAAGCAGACAGCAGAACGTTAGAGATTGAACTAACAGATTCTGCAGAGTGGGAGAATAGAGATAGAATGAAGCAGAATGATGAAGTATTGATTAAGATCTTAGAAAAATAAATTTCCACCTATTTTTTTTACCTCTTCAAATTTATACATTGCTTTGCATTGGTCAGTTGGCAATAATCTTACTTAAATCTAATTTTAAACTAAAGTTGTAATGTCTTAAAAGCACAATTATCCAAGGTTTAATTCCTAAGCCGAGGACTTTTTCCTGTCCTGTCAGAAAATCTACAAAAAAAGGGCACTTGTGAAATAAATCTTTAAAACATGCTTTAAAATTTTTCGTTGTAATAGAATGAAACCTTAAATAATTATGATGGAAAAATCATAAAAATCATCAAATGGTGTTAATTGGGCCTATCTTGTTCTTAGCAGAGAAAGAGAAGCAGGACTCCCACAAAACTTTCATCCTTACGGTTCTTTCAGTTACAAAGCTGCTTCCCATCTTTTCAAGTTATGTTTCCAGATTTTCAGCTGTGACAGTTTTGTTGATAAGGCAGGGCTCAAAAACAGCAACTTTTGCATCTGGATTTAATAAATCTGTCAGGTTTGTCCTCATTCTTTCTCCACATGTTCTGTAATCTTAAAAAGACTGTTATGTATTGAAGTCCCAAACTTCACTGCAAACTCTGAGGGAGTTATCTGTCACTAAACATGTTCCACACAGTGCCTTAAAATATGGCTTAGCTCCAAATATACAAGCATGCTTGTACTGCAAAAAGTGTCCGTCTAACCAAGTCTTAGGGACCTGTTTTTGGCAAAAACTCCTTTTGATCTCATTTTGAAATTGATACAATAATAAAGAGCAAATTATGTTTTTAATCTTCTTTTTAGAATATTCTTCTCAAAAAAGTTAGATAATCTGCCAATGCAGTAAGACAATTGCCGTTGCTAAGACTTCCTTTTTTGAAAATAATCCAACAAAATCTGCTCTTGCTTAGTGTATTAAGACCAAAATTACTCTTCGGTTGGATATACTATTGAAAAACTCTGCTACATAAACAGTTTCTTTTTATTTCATCATCATGGTGTACTTTATGCCATTATCAGTACTCTGATTTAATTTGGTATAGGAATATTATGTTCTAGTTATGAAGTACAGACATCGATACCTTCCAAGGTTTAATGCAAAGTGGACAAAATATCAGAAAGAAAAGGCATGGAAATAATCAGAAAGATGTAATGAGATTTAGTTACCTTCACCTCTTGCAGCAGCTTCAGCCTCTGCTACATGTGGTAACATTTAGCAAAACAAGGAGAAATGGGACTTGAAGTGAATCTGATGCAGTATGTGACTTTAAAAGTTTAACCTGAATCACTAAAGCACATGTTGACATATCTGACGGATATAGCTGGAGATAGATGCTGGAGATCGGCCTGTTTTCCAGTGTAGTCCTGTTTCTCTGACCGTGACTGGGTTGATGTGCTCTCTTCATCCTCGACATGGGAGATGGCTCAGAGCTCGTCTGCCTGGCTGTGTGTTTCCTGGACGGGGCCGCCTTTTACAGCTGCTTTTTGTATCTCTGCTTCTGTGTCCTTGAACCCCAGTCGGCCTCAGCAGATGGCTGCTCACACTGAGCCTGGTTCTGCTGGAGGTTTCTTCCTGTTAGAAGGGAGTTTTTCCTCTCCACTGTCGCTACAAGCATGTTTAGTGTGAGGGATTGCATTTGAGTCAATGCAGTCAACTGGTTTTCCTTAGATAGAAAACTATGAATCAATTTTACTGTATGATCTGGTTGAACTGTAAAGTGCCTTGGGATGACTTGTGTTGTGAATTGGCACTATATAAATAAATTGAATTGAATTAAATTGAATAGCTCTACATTTATAAAGTGGTGGGGAAGCATTTGCATGAATAGATTATGACCATAAATGTTTTTTGTTTTCCCGGTGTCACAGTCATTTTGGAGGGACACATCCATCACAAAGTTGTCTTCTTCTGCTTATCAGTTTTTAGAACTTCCAGTATTATCTATTACAGTGTTGTTGGTTTGTACCAGGAGTCCCACAGGGTCTTAGCTTTGTTATTTTCCTCAACCTTGGAAGGCAGTTCCCACTTTGAACTAGTTATTTTTTCCTGACAAGTGTTTCTATACACTAAACATACAATTAGTTATGAAATTTTATGTAATTCTTTCCTGCTCTAGACATTTTAGTGTAATCATGCTTGTCTCTGAGTCTTTTTTGCACAGACAGCGTTTTTGATCTTGTCCGGTGTGATAGACACAGACCTCTGTTGCTCTGTTGCTCAGACCTGTCTTTTCTACCCATTGGTGAGAAGAAATCATAGCCACATAAAGTGTCTGGCAGTGATAAATCCAATGGAGTGTTTTTTTTTCTCCCATAGTGGTTTATTCAGCTACTTCTGTTCTAGCTTCCAATTCATCCTTTGGGGACATTTTTCCGATGTATTGTTGGAGGTTGGATGCTTCATCTTGGAAACTGCTTCTAAAGCACACTAGCTGTTTTCCTCATTCCATGTGCTTTGCTCATGTGGCTGTGGGAACTGGATGCTGGGTGGAATCCACCATAGCTGATAAGTACCTATTGTGTTTTAACATGTGCTGTTAATTTCTACCTTTGGCCAACTTATTATCCCAGTGGGGTTTCTGGTTACTGGCACTAAATAGCTTTCAATTACTTGCTCTTAGAACTTGCTGTACTCTTGCGTGTATGTCCCTTGGGCTTCTTCATATTTACCATTTTCTTGTTGTATTCTTAGGTGCTAAAAGTTCTCCTCAACATCTACTATTTTCCCCTCTGTGAATGAATTTCCCTCTGCAGATCACCCTCCCTCTGTTTGTCACCATACTCAAGATTTCTCTTGCCTGAATGGCAGTCCAGAGTCATTATGTAGACCCGCAGTTGACTGATCTTGCTCCACTTTCTGAGTACATACCCATAGCCATTCTTGATTGGTTAGGGCCATCAGTAGCATATGCCAGATTTGAGAAAGACCCGCATAACGGATCCAAATTGATCTCATGGGTGGGTTTCCATTGGCTGGGTGTTGAATTTGTTTCATGTAATGAAGTATGCTACTTTTCAAAGTCTTTTTATGTATCCTTGCTCCTGGGAGTTATCGGAGTAGCAGCATTTATCACCTTGCTCTATTCCAATGTGT